GGGAGCGCCACCGCGCTTCCCAAGCGGCGCACTACCCAGTGCGCCACCGGGCCGGCCCGTACTTACTCTAATTCTTGACACTTAGTACAGCCTAGACCTTAAGTAACTGATGAATAAGTGCTAAACAGACTATCAAAATATTCTGAAACTTACTAAGAAAGTACTTCCTGCCTATTCTGGTTCAGATCAAATTTTTTTGTCCCACTAGTGGATAAAATAGGCAATTACATACAATCTACGCTCAATTTGTCAAGGCCGAAAGTTTCCAGCATAGGCACCGGTACCAAACCCTTCAGGCTGCTCCTTTCGCGTGGCTCCACGGACCCTCTTGCTTTTAACCAGCAGATCTGGAAGATGCCAGGCAGACACAGAGCAATCATAATAAATAAGCAAACAGTTTTATTACAGGAAACGTTTTGAACAAAGTACAATAAAAATTTTAAAGCTCGTTGCTAGACCCTTCCTTCTCTTGCTACATTGGGCACCTTGCCATTGACGAAGGTAAAAGCGGCCGTGGGATTAGCTTCTCACCGCCCCACAGGATAATTAAGGAAGCCACTGCTCTAGAAGTTTGTGTTCGGGGATACAGATTTTAGATATCATTACACGTGGTGAGATTAACAAATCTTAAGTGTCCAGTTAGATGAATGGTCACAAACGCAAGTAAGTCGAAGAACATGAGCCCTCCTGGGTGTCCCTTCCCAGTGCAGACACCCACAGGTCCCAGCCTTGAGCACGATCCCCGCGACATCTTGGTAAGTAACCGCGCCGCACCGTACAGTATCAATCACCCGGGCTCAACATTAAGTCTCGTTGCGACCGCTTCCTTTTTATAGCGGAGCCGCATTCCCAGCAAGCACTGCGGTTCCACAGTGAGGGTGGATGGGCGTGGTCGGGGCCGTCCTGCCAATCGGCGCCCGGCTTGTTGACAAGTTTAAGGTAGCTCGCGCTGATTGGTCAGCGCTGAGCCGGCCCCCTTCTTCCCGCGGTGTCTGGGTGTTGCATCACTTCCGGCGCCGGGCCGCAACGTGGGCGCAGGTTCCTCCGCAGGCTTGGCGGCTCCGGGGCCCCGCAGGTACGCTGCGTTCTGCCCGCGAAGGCGAGGGGCACGCACGCGCTATGTCCTCTGGGCCGCAGGACAGGATTTTTTAAAGAACATAGTTTCTTCAGGATTTCCCGTGGTTAGTTGCGTGTATATCTATTTCCAAGGAGGAAGATTGGGAGGCGGTCTGAGATGACGCTACAAAACTCGGAACCGGGCACGAATCCTGGCTTGACTCCTCGGGCCGACTACTGCAGTCCTCGGAGGTTCCTCAGCTACACGCTGGGACCACCTTGGCCCTTGAACCGTTGGGTGGTGGTGAGAATGCGGGCACACTGGAATTGTTAAGAGGCAGGCGAGACTTATGCGAAGCCTGGGTGCTCGTTAGAACAAATGAAGGCGTGGCTCCGAGTCGCCCCTTCCTCTCTCTGATGCCCTTGCACGTGAATTCATCGCTGGGGACCTGGGGTCAGAGGGGTCAAGCGCGGAGTCCCGGTCCTCGACTCACACACAGTCTGATAATACAGTAGCTGAGTGCACGCCTCGCTGGGAGCACAGAGATTTGGAAGTGGGAGAAGGAGAAGGCTTGTCAGGAGCTGTCATGGGGCTTGGACCTTGAAGATGGGTAGGAATTGAGGGAGCGGGGCAGAGAGACCAGGGACCATACGTAAAGTACTGCAGGATTTGAAGGTACCGTTTGGTTTAGGAGGTGGGGGAGTCGGTGTCCTTACTGTAGCTTAGGGTGTGTGTGAGGAACGGAGAGAGATGGCACTTAGCTTCCAACCTCATGAATTTATGGTTGCCGTTTTGAATGAGGCGGTGTTTGAAATAAGTAAAAATCTTTTTTAAAGGATCTACCACATATACCATAAATTAGTAGACCTGTGACTTGCTCTTTTCTTTCTCGATATGTGTAAGTAATGTGTATGTTTGATACTACCAGTTTTTTATTTTTAATGGCTGCATGGTATTCGTTTTATATATGTACCATAATTTACTTTATC